GATCCTCCTGCCTCAGCCTCCCAAGTAGCTGGGACTACAGGCATGTGCCACCATGCCCAGCTAATTTCTTCTATATGGTTTTAGTTGTCTGATTAATTTCTTTCTATTTTTAGTAGAGACGGAGTCTTGCTCTTGCTCAGGCTGGTCGCGAACTCCTGAGCTCAAACAATCCGCCCGCCTCAGCTTCCCAGAGTGCTAGGATTACAGGCGTGAGCCACCGTGCCCAGCTGGCTTTTTTCTTATTTTAAATTAGAGACAGGGTCTCTGTGTTGCCCAAGCTAAAGAGCAGTGGCTATTCACAGGCAATCATAGTGTACTGTAGCTTTGAACTCCTGGCCTCAGGGGATCTTCCTGCCTCAGCCTCCCCAGTAGCTGGGATTACAGTCAGGTGCCACTGTGCCCTCTGTTGGCCTTTTACTTAATCATTAATAAGTGAAATTGGGTCATCACCTATTTCATTAGAGATTACACATGCTAATCAAATAAAGCTGGTTTTATAAAATGATTATTATCTCTTTTTGGGCCAAAGAATGGTGCCAATAGTATTGAGATTTTTGTATTATATTGTCAGAACACTCATTGAGATTCTTGTGTAAGGGCAGTACCCCAAATTCAGGATGATAGACTTTGTTAGCTTGGCCTCACCTCATGGATATGTTCTTTTCCTACAATGGCAACCAATTGCTTTCAGCACACTCCGCCAAGCATTCAAGTATTCCCAACTTATGGGTGAATAAATGATGAAAGTGAAAGGCTAAGCTATACATCTTGAGTAGAAACACAGGTAATTTTGCTAGGATTGCTGCCTTTCTCGTAGTAGATTATTAAAACATTAACCAATGATAGAAATGAGATATATTTTTGAGCTGATATGTGGCGTTTCCCCCTCAATATTGATGTACTATGTTCTTTTCGATCCTTTAGGCTGTGAGTACAGTAGAACAAAGTGTGATCGTGACAACAGAAGAGGAAAAACGAAGTCATATCCAAACTTTCCTAGAGCATTTATCGGCTAACGACAAAGTCATTGTCTTTGTTTGCCGAAAGGCCGTGTAAGTATTTTTTCTTGCACTTCCATTGTAATTAGTCAAATGGATTAGAATTATTTCCATTTGTATACTTATTTCAAATGGGAGGGAGGGATAGGTGTTACATTATGTTGTTATAGACTTTTGGTAGTAGAAGTAAAAGTGGTGAATCGATGGTGGTAAGAGAATGAGCACTTGAGAATGTTGACTTTATCCTTTCCTTCAGTGCGGATCATTTATCGAGTGACCTGATTCTCCGACATATATCAGTGGAATCATTACATGGCAACAGAGAACAGAGGGAAAGAGAAAAAGCGTTACAAGATTTTAAAACAGGTACTTTTATGTAATTAGTATTTTTGCAGTTTAAAATAAGTCCAATGCCTGGGCTTGGCAGAGTAATAACATCTTTTCATGGAACTCATTTCTAAAGTCTGTCCTCAGCTTCTATATTACAGAACTATAATTGTTTAGAGTTCTAAATATAAACCCGCCTCCAAGAACTATCTAGCTAAACTCTAAAAAGACTGTTTTTAAACCTGGATATCAAGATACTAATTTGCAAAAGGAGACACATCTTAATTTACCTGAAAAACATGTATCTTTCTGGCATGGTTCAGAGGGTTCAGGAACACTTTGCTGAACCATGGTATTTGTGTACTGTAATTTGCCAGCAGTTAAAGAAAAATGGCCTTTTCATATTCACAAAGTAATCATTATTAATGTAAGTAATAATTAATGTGGTTAAATAATAAGGCCGAATACACATTTCATGTCTTGGGTTGGTATGTGCCAGAATCGTTCAATATTTATTTGGCTTGACTCTTTAGGAAAAGTAAGAATATTAATTGCTACGGACTTAGCGTCCCGAGGTCTGGACGTTCACGATATTACTCACGTATACAACTATGACTTTCCAAGGAACATTGAGGAGTATGTTCACAGAATAGGGCGGACTGGAAGAGCAGGGTAAGAAAGCATAGCCCACCCTAAAAGAGGCCAATTCTGGATTCTCATTACTCCCCTCAAAGAGGGGAGTTTTCTTGTTGCCCAGAAACCCACTTTTTGGTCTCTTGCCTATAAATTCTGCTCCTCCCCAGAATCTGCCTGGCTACTTTACTTTATCACTGTCCGTCTGGCCTATTACAGATTCAACCGGATCCCCTCATTCATTTCATAAAACTGTTCTGATACTACTCCTTGTTTTATCTCTAGTATCATAATGACACTAAACTCTGTACCCAGCGCTTACTCTAAACATTGTTGACAAATTGTCCACAGTTGGCGTCGGTATGAGAGGACCTTTCTCCTCTTATCAGCAGTACTGCCGTATACTCCCTTACACTATTTAAACAACTGTAGATTTGGATTCTAAATCTGTTTGAATGATGCTAAATCTTAATGCATACTTGGCCTTTTGTGAAAAAGTTGTCTTCCTGCTTTTATTTTCTGTTTTATTCTATATTAACTGAATCATGAATACATATTATAAATGAGATTACATGAATTTCTCCCCCCACCCCACACACACAGGAGAACAGGTGTTGCAATAACTCTTATCACGAGAAATGACTGGAGAATTGCAACAGAATTGATTAATATACTGGAAAGAGCAAATCAGGTGAGAATATGTAACTCATTAGTAATGTACCTCTTATCATAACTTCTCCAGTGTTGAAGTCATTTATGCTGGGTACTGGACTGGAGCTTGCTGGCTATCAGGAAGACAGATATAAAAATGAGTTTTTAAATGTTGGAGGGCTATCAGATGACAAAGAAGGAGCTCTGGAAGCATGTAATTGGGGAACGTAATATAATGGGTCAGCAATGAAAGCCCTGCTGAGGAAGAAACCAGTGGGGTGGAGGTGGGGAGAGTTAGAAGATGGAGTAAAAGTCCCAGGAGAGGGGACATGTTCAAGTGCAGAAGTGAGAAAAAGGATGTGTAGAAAGTGATAGCAGATGACGGCATGTTAAGGGCACTGGGAAGCAGTAGTGTAATGATGGGTGTTTTTAATTTTGCTTAATTTTGTAGCCTGAAGATGGATTTAGAGTTTAATAGGCAGAGAAACAAAATTTCTGTTTGGAAGATGCCATGTGACAAGTCGTGCAGATTATCTGAAATGATTTGGAAGCATTTTGGCATATTGTAGAACAGAAAACACAGACTCTAAACAACATTATTACTAATTTCAGAGCATCCCGGAGGAGCTTAAAGGAATGTCAGAAAGATTCAAAGCACATCAGTTGAAAAAACAAATGGAAAGAAAAATGGGAAGACCACAAAGAAAGCCCAAGAAGTTTTATTAATGTCTCATTGAAAAGTGCTGGAGGTAAAACTTAAATAACAAATGGACTTTCAAATGCCTGTCTGAAACTAGGCTTTGTAAATGTTTATTGCAATCAGCACTATCTTCAGGAGTCTAACATAAATTATTAGGTGTCACTTTTACCTGTCACCTAAAGTGTGTAGTGAATATATCTTTAGAAGCACTGTAGAGTTAAAAACTTTTTAAAGTTATACAGAGAGATCATTAATAGTACAATGGGATTGGTAGACATAAATTGGTGTAACTTGGTAATATAGTAGGGGGACTAGATGAATAGACTACAGTACATTGGTATATTACACAGCTATTGAAGAACATTTGAACCATCTTTAAGACATCTTCTGTGTTGAAAGCAAATTTTCCACTAGGATGCTGTACTGTGTTAAAATAAGAAACTTTACCTCCTGTTTCAAAGTTCTAAAGTTCAAAGTTCAAACTTCTAAAGTTAAACAACAGAAATCCTTTAAAAATGGGCTAAAGACTTGAATAGACATTTCTCCAAAGAATATATACAAATGGCCAAAATGATATGAAAAGATACTTAACATAGATCATCAGAGAAATGAAATGAAAACCACATGATATTACCTCACACCCATTAGGATGGCTACCATGGAAAACAGAAGATGAAAAGTGTTGGCAAGCATGTAGAGAAATAGGAACCCTTTTGTACTGTTGGTGGGATTGTAAAGTGGCACAAATGCTATGGAAAACAGCACAGAGGTTCCTCAAAATATTAAAATAGAACTACCATATGATGCTCCAATTCCACTTCTGGATATACATACAAAGAATGAGAGTGTAGTCTTTATTTGTACTCTAAAGTTCATAGCAGCCCTATTCACAATAGTGAGAAGGTGGAAGCAACCCATGCATCCAGTGAGTAAACACAATATGGTATATACATACATTGGAATATCATTCAGCCTTAAAAAGGAAGAAAACTGTCACATGTTACAACACAGATGAACCTTGAAGGCAGTATACTTACAGAAATAAGCCAGTCACAAAAAGACATACTGTATACATCTCCTTTGAGGTACCTAGAGCAGTCAGATTCATAGAAACAGAAAATATAATGGTGGTTAACAAGGACTGGAGGAGGTAGGGAGAGAGAATTATTTGTTGTTTAATGGGTACAGAGTTTCAGTTTTACAAGAAAAATTTTGGAGATTGGTTGAACAATAATGCAAATATACTTTATACTACTGATCTGCATACTTAAAAGTAGTTAAGATGGTGAATTTAGTTGTGTATTTTATCACGATTAAACTTCTTAAAAACAATGTGAACAGTAATTTACATTTTTTTCCTACTTATTTTTCAGAATTCAAGATATTTTAGAAATACATACTGGATATGGAAGTGCTGGAACATACTGGCAGTTATGAAAAGATTTCCCTGATTCTTAAAATAACAGTGTTTAAAAATGTAGAATTCAATATTTTATACTTCAGTAAAAAGTATTTAAATGTGAGTTAAATTTTTTCCTGAATATTGATAAGGAATGTAACATGTAGAGGTTTTCTTTTACTTAAAACTTTTCCTATTTAAAAAAAATTTTAAATTGTCTCCTGTAATGTTGCTGTACTAAGGTCAGTCTTTAAAGAGTTTAATGCTTGTTCAGATGTCATAGCAATGAAAAAGATGCCATTAACAAAATAAATGTTAATTTATGTGATAAAAAGACAAGTTGATGTTTTTTCTGTATATAGAATTTTAATTTTGTGTTTGATTATACTTAATATCACCTACTTTGAAATGAATCAAACAGTGAAAAAATTATTTCCTGGGTCCAAAATACATAACAATTTATCCTTACATTTTAGCCTATACCTCCATGTTAAAATAAATCCTATGAAAATCAAATGACATTTCCATGAAAGTTTCTTTGATCACATTCACCATCTTTCTCTTGCAGTTTTGTGTTATCTATTCTACCATAAGTGAGGGTTACTTATATTAACTTCTAGAATTTATTTGTGTATCTGTAGTTATGCTTGTATATAATTAGTTTAGGCCTTCACATTATCTTGCATTTTTCATTCATGCAATAAGTTTCCTCATTAGCCATAAGCTTATCAAGAGAACCTAATAGAAGAAAAGAAATAAAGGTAAAAGCAGAAATGAATAAATCACAAAATAAGAGTTCAGTGAAAACCAACAGCTGATTTAGGAAGACCAATCAGATATAAGTTTCTAGATATGGATGGAAGTACTGGAACATACTGGCAATTATGAAGAGACGACTGATCCTTAAAAATACTAGTGTTTAGGCCGGACGCGGTGGCTCACGCCTGTAATCCTAGCACTCTGGGAGGCCGAGGTGGGCGGATTGTTTGAGCTCAGGAGTTCGAAACCAGCCTGAGCAAGAGTGAGACCCCGTCTCTACTAAAAATAGAAAGAAATTAATCAGACAACTAAAAATATATAGAAAAAATTAGCCGGGCATGGTGGCGCATGCCTGTAGTCCCAGCTACTTGGGAGGCTGAGGCAGAAGGATCGCTTGAGCCCAGGAGTTTGAGGTTGCTGTGAGCTAGGCTGACGGCATGGCACTGTAGCCCAGGCAACACAGTGAGACTGTCTCAAAAAAAAAATAATAGTGTTTAAAAATGTAGAATTCAATATTTTATACTTCCATACAAGAAAAAGTTAAGTTGAAAAATGTAAGTCTGGGAGTGGGGAGTTGGATACAGAGGCATTAAAAAAAATAAGAACACTATATAACTTTGCCAACAAATCTGAGAACTCACAAAATTGACCACTTTATATTTTCCTACATTACCACAGTTAGGTAGTTAAGCTGTATAGACAAAATATAGAAAGAAGCAACATGAAAGGTAATCATGGGCCTTCAACAAGAGGATAAGTTCCTGTGTATCAGAACATTTAAAAAGATTGTTTTTCCATTCACTCATAAAGCTAAAGTGAAAAATACTTTTGTTAGACTATATGTATATATATAAGCATATTCATAGAAAGATACATAAGAAAACAGTGGTGATTGCCTCTGGGAAGATAAATGGGTAGCTGAGTGTTGAAAAACATAAACCAACATATTACTATGTTGTAGACTTAGGTTTTCAGCGAAAGTGAGCTAGGCTAGCAGCTGGGAGACCAACCTTTTGAAAACAATGCAGAATTAAATGTACAAAGATCTTAAGCACAAGGTTTCTTTTTGAGCTGATGAAATAATCTGAATATACTAAAAACTGTTGAATTATACACTTTAAATGAGTGAATTTCATGGCATGTGCATTGTATCTCAAAGCTGTTACTAAAAAGTCTCTTTAAAAGAAGAGCTGGCAGGACAGTAAGAAACTAGTAGCTCAAAATCTAAGGGTGTGATACTCAAGACAGCAAAGCAGAGCACAGGCAACTCTAAGCCGCTTTTGGATGTGAGGACGTTTGATGATCCTGCTCTGCCAGGCCAAGGGGAGATGGGGGTGGGGGCGGTAAACCTTCAGACTTAGAGGCCAGAGGCCACAGTTGGCAGCCAATTCATTCAGGAGCATATGAGACAGGAAACTCAGCTTGCCAGAGGGTTAGTATTGGGTGTTTATGGGAGTAGCCCTTACAACTGTCTACGTAACCATCCTGGAGCTATTCTCATTGGTACTCCCAGACAACCCTTCAGGGGCAAGACACCAGATCTGCTTTGTTGAGAATGAATATTCACCTTACATATACATTTAATTGGAGCCCATGGTCCACAGGAGCCAGTATTGTTTGCAACAACTTCACAGACATAGTTTCACGGATCCCTGCAAGGGATATGCCCACACTTGGGGAAACCCAAAGCTATGGCTTTCCACACAGAAAATTTGAATTTTGGCTTTGGTGACAAAAAACAAGGCTTAGAGTCTACTCCTAGGGGAGAATTTAAATAAAACCCTCTTCACATTAAACTAGGAACTCCAAGGGCTATAACCTTAAGTGAATGGTGAACCAAAAGTAATTTCACTTCTAACTAACTTAGTGAAAGCAAGTTTGCTCTGGTACTTAGAACAGCAGGTCAAAATGAAAAGTGAAAAATAACGCTGAGAACTTACAGACCCGCGTTACACAGATGTGAAGCCCAGGTTCACACTGCCTAGGTGGCTCAGGAAGCCTCAAGAAGTAACCTTCATTTGAGGTGCTTCGCTGACTGCTGATGTTCCCAGTAGCCTGGCAAATGTAAACAAATCCTTTCCCAAGGAGGATACCGTCATACTGTCTAAAAGGAGTCCCCATAAATCATTTTTCAAGGATAATTCGGTGAAAAATTAACCAAGCACCACAAATGAGAATCAAGAAACAGTGAAAACAGCAGAAGCAGACTACAAATATTAATTATCAGATTATAAAATAACTATGATTCATACGATGAAACACAAGCTTCAAATTACCTGCCATAAATAGGAAACTATAAAAAGTGACATAGCAGATGAGAAAAAAAACCAGATAAAACTTGTAGAAATGAAAAAATATCAACATGCACAAAGCATCCCATATAGAAATTTAAAAATGTAAGAGAATAAAAACCTATACAATAGCAATGAAAAAATATATATATAAAGAAAG